GTGAGAAATACCTGAGTTTGAGTCAGACAAGAAATAGACAAAATAGTGGAAAGTGCGGATGAAATAAAGTGGGAAAGTGCTCTGTGTTTCGATATAAAAACCACATGAACTACTCTCAATGCGTGGGTAGTTTTTTGTTTCTGGTTTTGTTTCTGCAAAATGACAGACGATCCAAGATAGTTCCATTTTTTTGTGCTGATAAGACCAAACTGTGAATGTCATTGCTGTCCAATCTTTCTCCACTCTTGGTGTCTGTAGTGTAGCACCCTTTAGTAATAACTAATGAATGTCTTGAATTAGACAGGAGAAAAGGAGGAATATTAGTGTGTGACTTTTTTCCTGTCCGCTGCCCCCAAATTGGATGAATATTGCATTTATAATTATCAGCAGTGAAAAAATTGGTAACACGGTTATTCACATTTCCATTTCCATTAATAGGCTTATTATTAACTATTTATTGTCCAGAATGGGTGTGTCACAGTCCGCTCCACCAACTCTCTTTCGTCGCTGACAGGGCCTGTAAAGCACAGGGGATACAACCTGGCATCCAGTCTGGTTCACAAAATGAAGCTGCGACTTCCCTTCACCATGCCAAGCTGCATGCAAAGCTCTTCAGCAGCCAAGGCAGTATTTTTGTTCAATAACTTCATACCCCATCTGTGCATTCATTGCAGGGTCTCCCACCGTCTTGTTCCCAGCTTCTGCCATACTGTGAGTGCACTCTGAAGTGGTTCAGCATATTCCCCAGTGCCTAGGCTGCATTCTCTCCTTCCTTTTTCCTTAGAGCTGCACACACTTGCACCAAGTTCTGTTCTGCAGCAACATGTTTTCACCCCAGTCACACTGGAGTTTCTGTGGCTGCTGTTCATTTTGCACTTCCGTTACCCAGGACAAGCATTCTCTGAGTATTGGATCTTCTCTGAGTTTAGGAGATAAGCAGTGCCTCACCCGCAGGACTTGGACAAGAAACAGCACTGATGTCTCAGAGACTGTACTGTAGTCGTGAACCATAGAAGTTAAAGTTAAAAGACTCCTTCTGAGCCCCATTATCCTTGCTGAGCTGACAGATGGAAGAAAGAGGAGGAGGAGAGGGTTGGAAAGTCTCCACTAGTGTATAAGACTGCCATAAAACTCTTTGATATTGACACTGGATGCTGCTTGGGAAATCTGCACAATCACAGATGTTAATCACTGCTTTTTTTTGCTAGGAAAAGGACATCACCCCTGACCCTAGCCTGTTAGAAAAGGTGAATGAATGTGCAAAGCATCTGGAGATCGTGAGGAGCCACGAACAGCCTTTATCCCACCTGAGCCCTGAACTGTGTGACATTTTTGACTTTTTTGTAGCTTTGACTATATGTAATACAGTTGTGGTTACTGCACCAAATCAGCCCCGACAGAAGGTAGGTTAAAGAAACGGCAAAACAGCGGTAAATCTCCTTTGTATAGATACTAATTTATCTCATAAACTGGGGAAGTGAAAACTGCCTGTTCCAATGAGAAACAGAGGTAATCATGAGACAACTCTTTGTACCACTATGTGAATGAGTAGGTTTAGTCAAGCATTAGCTAAGTGGAGTATTTCAGTTGTTTCGTTTATCTTCGAGGTATGGTTTCATCTACAATTTCAAGATACTTCTGAAGTTTGTTGAATTCTTGT